TCGAATGACATATATATACTTGTTTCATTCTCCAATTACTCGAGGTATTTGAGGTTGAACGAATGTCATGAAAGTGATTTATATATGTGTGATTTGCTTTCCTTTTTTAATGAGAGATTCTTCTTGATTATGTTATGTACTGTTTGTTGTCTCGGGCATGTGGACGGCTTTTGCTAGTGACCATTGCAACTGTGATACAACTTTTTGAAAGTCTCTTTTTAGATGGTTCTGGTTCCACAAGCTGATCTACATTCCTTTATTTTACAATATCATTAAGTATAATGGATATTCGCTTCTTGGAAATTTTAAGTCTCCGACTTGAGCACATGATATGAGTGTAAGAAAATTTGTGTCGGAGTGAGCTGCTACATATCCGTCCCAAAAGCGATCAATTTTTTATGACATCAAACTAACTACGTAACGCCAAACACTGTTAAAGTTAAGGCTTTGATACATGCCGTTTAACTACAACATTATATCTGTTGTTGCTGTCATATGCAACTTACTACTTTACATATTCAAAATAATTTCTATATAATATATTCAAACTTTTGTATAAACCGACTGTTTGCACCGAGCGTGAATAACATTTCAGATGTAGTTTGGCTGGTAAAGATCCAATCTGTGCGACACTTTTCGGCGTCCAACAAAAAGCCTGTGGTTGTAAATTTATAATGAGCTGACTAAAGCGATCTCGAAGAAACACCTGCAGGCAGTTATTCTATTTAATCGGATACAATAACACAAAATGGATATTTAACCGAAACGGCTTAGAAATTCATTTGTGAACTAATATCATACGCTCACCAATTTCACAATGAAGTTATTCGGGTTTTAAAGGCTACCAGAAAGTTAAATTTACTGTTTTTAGTAATTTTACTGTCTTAAAGTGGAATTGGGAACATATTCCATTAACTTGGTACAATATCACTGACCCTTCAATGGTACAGCGCTATATCTACGGACTCGTAACTCTACAAACCAGGTTTTGATACCCGTGGTGGGCACAGCAGAGATAGCCCATTGTGTAGTTTTTTGCTTAACTACAAACAATCAAATACAATCACTGGAAATAGCAGGTTTAAATACAGATGATTAAAGCTCAAATGTATATTTGAAATTAATTTACGTTATTACAAGTTTTCTTTCAAAATATTTTAATATTTTATATATGTAAGAACTTTGTAAAGTACCATATTTCTATTCACTATCTCTACTCTTAGTTTATATGAATATGTAATGTTGCTTTAAACAAGCAATAAAACTTTAAACAAACATGTGAGTTCTGTGAATGAAAAAACTTTTTTCAATTCATTATTTATCAAATTCTATTAGACTACCACGAAAGGCCAATGACGTTTCCAAAGGTTAGATATTGGAGAGAAATTATTACAGAACTCCAAAGAACGAACATTTGATACCCGAAAAGAACGTTATTGAAGGAAAGAGGAGTGAAAAAAGTACTTGCAATTTCATTAAAATAATTGTAAACACTATTTTTTAATTACTAAATTTTGTGTTTTATTGAGTATGAACGATGAGTGGGAAATAATTTAAACCTCAAGAGCCATCTTTCTAGAATTAAGCGGTAGCTGCCCCCCTATTTTCCTCTCCCTACGAGGTTAGGCACCAAAGTAGGGACAGAAGAGAAAGTGATTATGTTCTTCTTGGTTATTTCATTTTACTAGAACACGTAAGTTACTTCGGTTTCTTATTTCATTATGGATAAGAAATAAATTTAGAAATACAAAAAAAAAAAGTTTAAAGATCCTAATATTATGGCTTTGTATAAAAATCATTTATGCGTACGCTGTTCATATTTAGATTTTGTAATCAAATTTAGACAGAAATAAATGCTGATTTAATCTGAGTTATCCAGAACCCATAAAGATAGTTAGTGATTATTGAATTTCAGCATATCTTTAATAATAAGACAACATAAGAAACTCGTTCTCCAAAAATAAGAGAAAACTTACAATTTTCTAAAATGACTCACTAAAATGTATTCAGCAAGTTACAAAAAGAATCAAAGGATTGGGAACGATATAAAATCCAGAAAATTATTGAACCTCACATAAATCTTCTGGATACAATACCTGAGAACTCGCTATTGAAACGCTTGGCATCAAAATATCCATAAACCACCCTTCACACGTACTTAAGTTACACTTAGAAAAAGTTGTTGAATTTTTAACGCGACATAACTTTTCATGAAAAAAGTAAAAAAAAGTCGATGTAGTTGAGTTTTAGTTGTTTTGGCACAAAATTGAACTGACGATGTTTAGTGAATTTTTACGATTGTTCCGAAAGTGATCTCTAAATTATATATTTTATTCAATTACGTAAATATTAACAAAATTATGAAGTTATCAATAAGTATAATTATTTTTGTGTTTAGGGAACATTACTGTACGGTAAGTATACATTCCGACGTTTGTAAATAATTTAACAACATGCACAGTTATAATACAAAGTTATATTGTGTTTTTTTTTACCATACATATTGAAATGCAAATTTTTACTTTGTCATAACTTAGCTTACATTTTGTTATCTATATGGAATCAATTAGTAAACCTGACATTAAGAAGTATTTGATTTTGTATCTAAAAAATATATCTTAATTTTTTTTGACGAATTTTGTGACTATGAACGAATATGTAAGCAGTGTCGTTTAGACGTACATTTACTACCTCTTTAGCATTCTCGTGCATCATTCGGTTCATAGGGAACTCGTTGAAGTGTCAGTTGTGAATTATAAATAAATATCTAGCACGTACTTATTCACCAAGAAAGTTGATATATATTGTATGCAAATATTAATTAAAAATTCTTTTGATGCGTTTAAAAGAGATAAATATGTAATTCATTCGCAATAGTCTGTTCTAAGTTTTGTTTGTTTGTTTTAATCATAACCACCTTTATTTTAATTTATTTAGAATTTATCATATCTATGCCAATTACTGGATCAGTTTGTTCATTAGAGGCTTTAATAGTGCTTACACACAAATGTTTATAGCTAGTATAGTTCATATTAGCACAAGATTTGTAACTAGTATAGTTCATGTTAGCACAAGAGTTCTTATGCAACAAAGAACATTAACTGAAACGTGGACAATGGTTACAAGAACTTCCGTCTAATGTTAGAACTTACTCACTACAATGGCATATTACTTCTTGTGAGTAGACATTACACTGAGTTAGTAAGGTTAAAAAAAAGGAACCCGTAAACACTAATTTCTAACCACGTTGTTCCTGATGTAAGAAAATTTTTTGATTGTTAGGATGTGCTCCTTAAAAAAAGGGGGAGGGATTCTTTATTACTAAAGACTTTTGAAATTTACTAAACAAACAGTTTATTTCAACAACAGTAAGCTTAAATATATACATTTAATTCATTAATTAATAAATACGTATTATTCCAAAATGGAATGATACGAAAATATATTTTAATCTCTTATGTATCGCATTAAGGAGAAAAAACTATTCAGTGAAAGAATGTGTAAGATCATATTGATAGACTATTAATACTTAAACTTGTTATGCGAGTTTTACGTTTTAGTTTAATTCAACTTTTCATACTGATGTGATCAATTACAACGAAATATTTATTCGATATTGTATTGTTTAACCACTGTAAAAATGTTTGTTTTTTCCTAGTTTTGAAGTGAATATACGTCTTATTAGTGCTAAATAGGTATTTATGATTAATTATAGTTTGTTTTTGTAATAAGAGTTCTTAATTTTAAAAATGTCCACTGTTGGGACAGCAGTAAGTTTACGGACTAACAACCCTAAAATTAAGGGTTCGATTCCTTACGGTGGACACAGTAGATGGCAAAATGTGGCTTTGCTCTAAAACAAACAATTTAAAGTAATTAAAATTTTGATTGTAATTAAGCACAAAGCCACACAATGGGCTATCGGTGCAGTGCTCACCATGGGTATTGAAACCCGGTTTCTAGCGTTGTACGTCTGCAGACATACCGCTGTGCCATTGAGGGGCAAATTGAAAATAAAGTAAAAGTGTGCTTCATATTATATTAGATAATCTGGTTACTTGTAAAGCTTTTAACGGTGTTTTTCCAAGCAGGAAACAAAATTATAAGTTTGTTTGTCCCTTAACAATCAAAAGATATATAATGGGCTATCTTTTATGTGCCCAAAGGAAGAACCAAAGTGTTGTGTTTATAAAAAAAAAAAAGGATTACAATACAAAATAAGAAACAAAGTTTAGCTTTCCTATATTTTGTAAATATTTCGCTTAGCATTCCCTATAAATCATGGTTCGCGTCCTGTTCTCGCAAAATTGCACTCCGTACTTTAGGGTCGTGAGTGTACTATAAGACTAATGATAAAATCCCACTATTCAGTCAGATTAAAGCAGAGCCAAATTTGGCTGTGTGTGTGTACGTGAATGATGGTGAATAGCAGCCTTTCTTTTGGTCTGTCAGTTCAAAATTAGTGGCAGTTATGTGCAGATAGTCCTTGTATAAATTTGAAAATTTTCAAGAAAATCTAAAACAAACAACCTTTTCCTTTATACTGCGATTAAAGAAAAGTAGGGAACGTGCATATAACGTATTCATGAATTTAACTATTTGATAAACATAACTATTTCTTCTGTAAATAAGAAATAATAACATAAACAACCATTTTATGAAACGAAGTATATTATGTCAGCACCCAGTGACCAAAAACCATCTTTATACTTTACAGGAATTATTAGTCAAAGCTATCTTGTCAACAGGAAAAAAGTTCAATTACCTTCAGTATCTTAGTATACTTTTGAAACGAAACTTTCAATACTGATTTAATTAACAAAGCAAATTACATTTAGTACATTTCAATTGTGTATGTATACAATATGTCAGATTTTTAATTTGTTTGCTAAAAAAATAAATCAATCTCAGTTTTGGTAAAACATGTTTTTACTTGTTTTAATAAAAATATTCCTTAACCTAATAACTTTCTTTCCTTTATGATACGCAGGCTTATCATCATGGTAAACATCATGTCAGAAGAGATTTATAATATTTCTTTGCCAGAAGATTATGAAATGTTTGCCGAAAATGAACTTCAGAATAACTCCAGAATTTCTGTTTATATCGCGAGGGACCGAATGTTTAATATTTCTAATTGTGGATTCAATGACACCTGTGAGAACACTTCAGCTTCTAGGTACCCCGAGGATCTAACCAAGACACCAATATGGTTAGTTGGAATATCAATTACTTTGTCCCTTCTGATCTTAGCAACTATCTTAGGAAATGTGTTTGTAATAGCAGCAATTATGATCGAGAAGAACCTTAAGATGGTGGGTAACTATTTGGTTTTATCGCTAGCCATGACGGATCTATTGGTTGCTTGCTTAGTGATGCCATTGGGCGCTATGTACGAAGTTAGCCAAGAATGGACTTTAGGCCCTCTTCTGTGCGACATTTGGATTTCATGCGACGTCTTGTGCTGCACAGCGTCTATATTACATCTTCTGGCTATTGCAACTGACCGCTACTGGGCAGTGACCAATGTGGACTACATCCATCAAAGGAGTATGCGCCACATTGGATTTATGATTTTTATTGTCTGGTTTGTCGCTTTACTAGTTTCGATTGCACCTTTTTTTGGGTGGAAGGACCCCCAATTCGAGGAACGTGTTCTTGTGTATAAAGTATGTTTAGTTAGCCAAGATTTGTCGTATCAGGTTTTCGCTACCTGTGCGTCGTTTTATCTTCCCCTGGTAATTGTGCTGGTTCTTTATTGGAAAATCTATAAGGAAGCAAGAAAAAGGATCCGTCGAAAACCTGGAAGTGCCAGCTATCGTGCCCTTCGAAGATTAGCTGTTCCACGAGGAGCACAATCAGTGGTAGAGATAACAACTACGTTTGCCATGTGTTCATCAAGTAATACCAGCTCTGGTACGAATACAAACTCAGTACAAAACAGGCCTATATCACAAATTTTGTCTTCTAACGAACCGAGTAAGATGACACTTTTGTCCAGTAAAAAACAGAAAAAGACGGCAAAAGAAAATACTGATTCAAAACGTGAACGTAAAGCAGCCAAAACTTTAGCCATTATCACCGGAGTATTTGTGGCTTGTTGGTTGCCCTTTTTCATCATTGCTTTGATGATGCCAATGTGTCACAGCTGTAATATTGGCCCATTACTGTTTAGTGTGTTCTTGTGGCTAGGATACGCCAACTCCATGTTGAATCCTATTATCTATACAGTATTCAGTCCGGACTTTAGATGTGCCTTTAAGCGTTTAGTATGGAGATGTTTTCGATAGCCAGCCTATATTTATATCATTTCATATGTTAAGTATCGTTCTTTTATATTTAAACTTGACAGTCTTAACAAGTCATTTGCCAGTGGTCTCATGAATTACAAAAGCAGTTAAAAAGCTGCTTCTAAAATAAACCTTGAAAAAAGTTTAAAAAATTGAAATCATACTTTATAATAAAATATTTTAAAAAATTCACAAAATTTTCCTTAAAGCAGCGCCATTTTTGTACTTTAATGTTCATCTGTTTGAAATCGCGTAACTTATAAAAGAAGCCGGAAAGGCTTTTGTTACTCTGTTACTTCGATTAATACGTTGCTTTAGCTCTATATAGAATTGTGCTATTATTATCATTCAGATTATTGTAATGCAATGGTGTTTTAAGAGTCTATGTAGTTATGTGATATTGATTACTGTATTAATATATATATATTATAAAATATAAATTAAAGACATGATGAATATATGTGTATCTGTGTTCTAATATCTAACTTTATGTAGTTTTCAGAGATTGCGGACACAGGTCTTTCAAAACATTTGTTTTCTTCTGAAAGACTTATCCAGTTGTTATATGTTTTAGTTTGCAAATTGTACGTGTTACAAACAAGCATCGGATGTAATATACTGTAGTTTAATCTACATACTCTGTCGATCGAAAACTCATCTGAACAAGAAACTCACAACACTTGAAGTCAGTCTCTGTAAAGATCAAGACCTAATAAAAAAGAATGATCTTTTATAACTGTTTATGAAATTTTAAATATATATGTTAATATTTTTTGCTTTTTTTTTAAACAAAGGGAAATCCGTACGTCTAAGTGCATTAAAACCTGGATGCTTCAAATTTTACATACAGAAAGATACGTAAAGAATTCTGGTGTGAGTAAAATGCTACATATGTCAGATATTTCATAAAAAAGTGACTATCTTGACTACAAAAACAAAATACACTGCAACCAATGAACGACCTTGTGAAATGTCGTCAGCCAGAACTATTGAAATTCACGTTAAATACAGGGTGATGTAGACTTTTCTCTTGCTTATAAACATAACACCTAAATTCTTTTGTTGATGTTTGTTAATAGTGGTTCCTTTATGTGACAGTTCACAAAGAAACAGAACCTTTTTATTATTTTAGTTTCACAAAGATATCTATTCTGACTTATTTTTAATGATTTACAATTGAATAAAAATATTTACTCATCTTGAAAGTTGTAGTATGTTAATGAGTTATAATGCAAAGTATATTTACGTGTCACTCTAAATGAACATAATCCCTGAGAAATAGCTTGTCACTCATAGCTATATATAAATTTATAAACAAATCCCACGAGACCTGATGTGTCACTCACAGCAGTATAAACTTACACTTTAGATTGCTTCTATGCTTTTACCAGTGGTGTGCCATGACTCTTTTTGCCAGGCACGAAAAACTTTTTGTATGACAGATAAAATCATTTTATGGTAACGTGCTGCAATATGCGGGTCGTGGAATCGAAACCCTCTTTTTCTAGAGCGGGGGGGGGGGTGTTATAATACGATGGTTACTTCTACTATGCGTTGGAAAATATTCGTTTAAGAACTGACGGTGGGTCCTGCCGGTCAGTTGTCTTCCCTCTGGTCAGCATTTCAAAATTAGGGAAGGCAACAGATAGAGTAAGTAGTTTTGCCATAAGCACAAACAAACATGCTGCCTTATTTACCCATATAATTCTTCAAAAGGTTTCACATTCTTATATTCAAATAATAAATAAGTATTTTTTATTTGGAAACTATTAAAATAGACGAGAAACTAATACCAATCAATTACCCATCTAATTCTCAAACGTTTTATATCGTATATTATCGAGACACGACTTGGTTGATTGTTTTTCTTCAGGATGTGAGCAGACAATTTGGATGAAAACTAATAAAGGATAAATTAACGCGTCTAAATAAAAACTTAATTTAGTTTTATTTTGTGCAACGTTCTGAGCAGATACCCTTTAGCAGACAATAAATACCATATCACATAGAAACTAGAATAAGAAAGAACTGTTGACGAGTTAGAAAATACAAAAATTCTAATTATACACGTCCTACGTAGAGCACGTTAACAAAAATACTGTTTAAGGAAAACATTGTTGAGCTTTTTCGCGAGCACTATCAAAATTACCAAGAAAATGAAAAACGTGTAGTTTAGAGAAATTGAAATTGAATTTTGGAAAACGAACGTATAGATAGAGAAAGAGACAAGAAAAATAAATTCACAAAATAATAATACAGGAAAATATTTCTAAGAAAGGGGAGGCTTTCGTCAAGGTAAGGTTGAAAAAGAGAATAAGCGATGAGTGAGCGGTAAGTAAAATACGTCTAATGATCTAGATTCTAGATAATTAGATATTTGTTGGATGGGGTAGTTGTAAGCCAAAATAATGGGGCGTCCAGGATACCCAGATTTGTGAATCTTGGACAATAAATATAAAAATCACGTTTTAGGATATTTTAAGAATTAGGTTTTTGACATTATGTGGGAGTTTCTTGCATTTTAGAAGTTATTGGTTGGTTTGGTGAATGAATTTCTTATATTCGGAAATGGAACTTTCAACGAGTGTCTTATAGAAGTTGCAATTGTTTAGTCGTCTGTTGGTTTCATCTTATTTGTTGTTATTTTCTTTAGATTTAGTTCAACAAAGGTGAACGCAGGTGTTAAGAGTTTGGTAGTTTTCGTTTTCGTGGTGTCCATTCGTGCTGTTTAGGCTCCAATGATTTGAAAACAAATAATTGTAGCCTGGTATGGTGTCATCAACATTATTGGTGCTTATAACGCGAGAGTCAGTAGTACCTCATTGATTAATTGTTTCGCTTCTGACGTCGGTAGGTGTTGTGTCCAAAGTAGTTTTAGTACTGGTTTGTTGTGAATTTCGCTCAGAGCTACACGAGGGCTGTCTGCGTTAGCCGTCCCTAATTTAGCAATGAAAGACTAGAGGAAATGCAGCTAGTCACCACCACCCACCGCCAACTCTTGGGATACTCTCTTACCAACGACTAGTGGGATTGATCTTAACATTATAACGACCCCATGGCTGAAAGGACGAGCATGTTTGGTGCGACGGGGATTCGAACCCGCGACCCTCAGATTGCGAGTCGAGCGCCCTAACCACCTGGCCTTGTCGGGCCAATTAGTGAAGTATTTTGAGATAGATCCATGGGCAAGCAAGGCACATACCACATCTTATACAGGCTGTGGACATTGGGACATAAACAATTTCACCAGTATGTATAATTACCAGTTTGAATACGAGAAGGTCCAAAGGTTTATAGTTGTTGTTAAGACATTTTAATATATGGTTTGGTTGGTATGGAGACGTGACGTTTGTATGCAACAAACCAGGTACACGTTGACGCACTGTCTTTTATTGAAAGTGTTCCCTCACCGACGATTCAACTGTTGCGTACCTTAGCTGCTTTTTCCAACGCACAGCTGATCGGAAGCTCAATAGCATGAGTCACACCGTCGCCTAGCAACACAGAGCATAGCATGCATTAAAATAAGAAGATAGCTGACATGATTTGATTTCTTACATGAAGACCTTTGTATATTTCACATTCATAAAAATGTCGTAGAATAAGATTTTTTGTTGTAGATTTCGTGGTATACAACGCATCCATTACACATACAGACGGCACTTCATTGACTTTTACAGTTGTAAAAAAAACAAACATTTATACGAAAAGATTTATAACTGCTATTCACTGTGGCTCTAATTAAAAGTTTTGAAATAAATATGGCATCAGTTAAGAAACAGTTACAATCGCACAATAAATGTCCCCACAGCCTAGTGTAATTATAACCTTAAATATTTACAAACAGTCTAGTGTAATTCAATTGTCTCGTGACAATGATGTCGGAATTCAGATACAACAGTTTTCATGTTACTGAGCATTACAAAAAATGTTAAATTAAAGCTTATAAATGTAAAAAGCTTAATGATGCCATCCATCACGAGTCTATATGCTCTATGTATTTAGCTAATTCCTATAGTTTGTAACAGATTGTTTCGTAATTAATCTAATAATAAAAGGTTTGAAATTGGTAGTTCACAGCCCGTTACAACCAGGAAGACTCAATAAAGACGTTCATAGACATATGGTTGTTTAAAACTTTCACCTCTGAAATTACAAATATCACCATTACTCCCCCACCCATCTACCCACACACACATTCCCCAATGGCTCAGTGGTAAGTGGGCCCGGCATGGCCAGGTCGTTAGGGCGGTCGACTCGCAATCTGA